AAGGCAGAACTCTGAAAAACGTAGGGCTTCCCCAGGCTTCTCTGTTTAGAAATGAGCTTAGACTTAAATGTGAACTCTTTTACTGAGCATCCTCTAACAGAAAATACAGAAGAAGGACTCTATGACCTCAGGTTAGGCAAAGTTTTCCTAAGTAAGATTTAAAGAAAAAAAAAAAACAAAAAAAAAAATCTCGTAAAAACATAAAAGAAAAAGCTTTGACAAAATAGACTTCCTAAAAATTTAAAAATTCGACTCTTGAAAAACACAGTTAAAAGAATGAAAACCATAAGCCAGGGAGTGGGAGAATATATTTGCCAAACACATATTTGAAAAGGGGATTGTTTCCAAACACTGCATCCTCAGAGCTCAGTAACAAGCAGCAGCAGCGCATGTTCTTTAAAAGCGGGTCTGGGATCTGAACAGACGCTTGGACAAACGGGAGCTCAGCGGCGCCACGTGCCCGCCAGTCATTGCTGCCGCTGCGCGCCTCCCGACTCAGCACCCCTGAGCACAGAGCAGCACAGGCCGTGACGGTCACTGAGGCAGACTGTCTACGTCCCCCAGGAAAGCAGCTGCTGGTTCAAATCACCACCTTTCAGTTAGCAATGCCTAACCCACTGGGCTACCAGGGATGCTGTCCATTAGTCCCTGAAATCAAACCCAGCTGCCTGCTGTTGCCTCATGGCGACCCTACACAAGGTGCTCAAAGCTCCCACTGCACAGAAGCGGCCGCCTCGTCTTTCTCCAGCGGGCGCTGGGGGACTCCAAGCACCTCTTGTGGTCAGCGAGTGAGCTCGACAGCACTGCTCCACCAGGGTCCTTCCATCAGTCTTTAAACACGGCAGACGAAAGCTGGTGAGACCCGCCGGGCCTGTGGGAACTGGCGGTGTAAGAACCGGGTAAGCACACTGTGCTGCAGCCATGCTGCTGCTGTCAGTGTGGACCCCACTTAACAGGGACTCCCAACAAGAGCCTGCAGGCCTGCCCGGAACTGGCCATCCTGACAGGAGGGTCCAACGGGGCCCACATTCCGCTGAGGGTCTCCCTTCCTCAGTGACCCTCCCCACATATGATGTCCTCGTCCAGGGCCTGGCCCTTCCTGACTACACGATCCACGTCTCCCCCTCAGGGCTCGCGAGGAGCACTCGGGCTGCCCTTCCTCCACGATGGCTGTCTGCAGCTCTGCCAGTCTGCGGGGCAGTCAACCGTCCTCCCGGCACCACAACAGTTCCAGGCTTCGACTCTTCACACTTCCACCTTCACTGCTCAGCTTCATACACACCAGACAACGGAAAACACCACAGTCTGCGGCAGGCACACCTCAGTCTTCAAAATGACATCCTTGCATTTGAACACTTTACAGAGGGCCTCACAGCAGACCTGTGCAGCGGGATACGTCATCTCTTAACTGCTACATCCATGGGTGCGGACTATGGAGCCAAGTAAAACAAAACGTGCGACAACCCAAATCTCTTCTCCGGTTGTCAGGATGCTGCTTACGGGTCGAGTGGTAAGGACTTCTGTTTCTTTCTGCTGGGGTGTAATTCACGCAGAGCTCTGTGGTCTTTGATCTTTACTCCAGTGGAATGAATATAAAACCACCCTCACACATGACACTGTAGATGCTGTCAGATGCTACATGGACGACACAGAGGGGATCCCACTGACATAATGGTCTGTAGAAGGGAAACTGTGGACACAAAAAAGCTGATCAAAGGTTGCTGAGGGTCAGGGGAAGGACAGCAGTGATTACAGGTGGATGTAAGGGGATCTTCTTGGTGATGGGACCCCCTGCACTGTGCCTAAGGCACTTGTCATAGATGTCACAGGCTGTGTTTATCTGTCCAAACGCCGCCATGTGTAAATCACCCTCCAGGGAAGATGTGTAGTGCGCTGGGAAGAACTCGGCCTCGGGGCTTGGACGGCACAGGTTCGACCCTAGCTCTACCACTTACCAGCTCACGTGGCTGGTCCTCTCCTCGCCTCATCTCTTTAGAGGATCACTAATGAAATCCACAAGCAGGCTGCTGAGGCGCTCACATCAGCCGGTGGTGCCTGGCACAGCAAACACGAGGGAGGCGTTCAGTCAACACTGGCTCATAGAGAAAGGCCTGCAGGGGCTGCAGCAGCAGGTACCAGCATGGCCGCGGCTGGAGGGGCTGTAGTAGTGGGTCCCAGCTGGCCATGGCTGGAGGACAGCGGGGGCTGCTAGAGCTTCGTTCTCCTGAAATCCAGCAGCTGCACGCAGCAACATTGACATCATGCCGCCGGACCGTTCCCTGGTGGGTGCTCTGTCAGGAAAGGTCCAGTCTCCTCTCCGACAAAGATGTCTCGTCAGAGTCAGCTAGGATTTTTTTGTCCGGTTGGATGTCTGGTTTTTTCTCAGACTTTTTTCTATGGCTGACTCTGAGAAGAATGGGATTCCTAGAACATTTGATTGTGCTGATGCAAAACCTATACTCGGACCAAGAGGCAGTCGTCGGAATAGAGCAGGGAGACACTGGATGGTTCAAAATAAAAAATGTGGTCCGTCAGGGATATATTTTGTCTCCATACCTTTTCAATCTGTATGCAGAACAGATCATCCGAGACGCTGGGCTATACTCGGAGGAATGTGGCATCAGGATTGGTGGAAGAGTCATCAACAACTTGTGTTATGCAGATGACACAACCCTGCTTTCTGAAACTGAGGAGGACGTGAAGCGCTTGCTGCAGAAGGTCAAGGACTGCAGTCTCCAATAAGGATTGAGGCTCAATGTCAGGAAAACAAAGATTCTCACCACTGGGCCAATTGGCAGCATCAGTATGAATGGTGAAGACACTGAGATAGTTAACAGTTTCCATTTACTTGGTTCCACAGTCAACACTCTTGGTAACAGCAGCCAGGAAATCAGGAGATGAACTGCATCGGAAAAGTCAGCTGTGAGGGACCTCTCAAGAGTACTGAACAGCAACAACATCAGGCTGGAGACTAAGGTGTGGCTGATCCGGGCTGTAGTCTTCACAATTATGTGTTATGCATCAGAGAGCCGGACAGTGAATAGGGATGATAGAAGGAGAACTGATGCCTTTGAACTGTGGTCCTGGAGAAGAGTGTTGAATATACCATGGACTGCTAGGAGAACAAACAGGTTTGTCCTGGAGAAGGTGAAGCTGGAATGCTCCTTGGAGTCAAGGATTCTGAAGCTTCATCTGACATACTTTGGGCATGTTGCAAGGAGGTCCTTGGAGAGGGACATCATGTTTGGGAGAGTGGAGGGGTAGCGCAGGAGAGGAAGACCCTTGATGAGATGAATCAATTCTGTGACTGGAATGGTGGGAATGAGTGAGTTTGAGATGGCGAGATTGGCACAGGATAGAACGGCGTTTAGGGCTCTTGTACATAGGGTCACTATGAGTCACATGGGACTCGACGGCACATAACAACAACAACAACAACAATTTATATTTAATTTATTAACATGTATATTTATATATATCTTATTTATTAAAATCTTTTTTATTTGATCTCTCTCTCGACAGCTGTTACCTCAGCAATGTCTGCACATAGAGCTGACTGACACGATCACAGTCTTCACGCTGGGCAGCCTCTGTCTTATCCTTTCCGGACCTACTCTGTGTCCATTAATGTAACTCAGACTCAAAGCCCTCCCTGGCATCACGTGGGTCCCACTCACGGTGTCCCCTGCCAGGTCTCCCAGGCTGTAAATCAAACAGCAGGAGGAGGTCCATCCTTCTCCCTCTGAGTTCACGCTGGCCTTCTGGGTCACTGGCAATATGCTATAAACTAGGTAAGCCCCCAGAGCTCCCTGATATGAACTCCCCCTTTTCTTTTCCTACCACCCCTGGAAAGGGAGAGGAAGACCCTGAATGACGGATGCTGACATGGTGACCTACTCTGGCAAATGGCCTAGGGCACAGCAGGGACTGAGGAAGGTGTGGGACCCAGCATGGCTCAGTTCTCTGGTCGCTGTGAGTCAGAGTTGAACTGACGGCACAGAACAACAAGCAACCACCATTAACGACAACTACTAGGCCTTAGTTTTCCTAGATTTGCCTATTTCACATTAGGGAGCTCTGACGACATACTGGTAAGAAGCTGTGCTGCAATCCTGAAGGCATGCAGTTCGAATCCACAGCTGCTCTGTAGGAGAAAGATGGGCAATCTCCTCCTATGCGATTAACTGCCTCTGAAGACCTGCTGGAGGGTCAGCTGTGGGTTGGTTCCAACTCGGCAGAACACCACAACAACGTCATCTCAATGAGATCATGTGACATTTGTCCTTTTGTGATTAACTTAGTTCACCGCACTTAATGTTTTCAAGGTTCATCAACGCTGGAAACCCCAGCACTGCATTTCTCTTTATGGCTGAGTCACAGTCCACTGATTGGACACACCTTGTTCTCCTCACCCATCCACCTGTTCAACTTTTGAAAAAGAACTTACTTTACTTTTGTTGTTATTGAAAATACACGTAACAAGACATCTACCAATTCAACAGCTCTATGTGCTCAGGTGACACTGATGACACACACTGTCCATGTGTGCAGCCAACCTCACCTCCTTCTCCCTGTCTTTCCATCCCCGGGAACAAGCATCTGCTGAAAACCGCGTCTAGAGCAGGGGACAAGGCCCGAGGAGGACATGCACTGGGAGGCCCGAGGCCGTCTCCATCCGCAGGGGAGTGCTGGCCTTCTCTCCGTTCACATGCCAGCGGCTTGGTTTTAGAAAAGCCTATCGGCTACTGTTACCTGCCAGGCACAGGCACGCACAGGAGAAGACAGCACAGGGCAGCTATCCATCACATTTCCCTTGAAGTCCTTAGATCACTAAAAATCATGGATGAAGGTGTCGAAGACAACTGGAAGGCCACCTAACTGCAGATGTGAAGCGCTCAGGCTCAGCCCGCAGGCATGCACCTGCCGGGAGCCTGGCCACCAGAGCGGCCCTCCAGCCTGGGCACTGGCACCAGGCTGTGTGGTGGGCGAGACACACGTACCTATCCAGCACTCTAGTCGGGCACAGGGGGTGGTCTTCACCACGTCCGGAGGGTCCACGCCAACGTTGAGGCACAGCACAAGGGCCACACTAACGGTCTTCATCTGAAAACAGAATACGAGAAGGTCAGCACGGAAAGATAGTGGCGTCATTTCCTGGCTTCCAGGACGCTCCCCGAGGCCCAGGCCTCACCTGCCACCCCAGCCTCCTGGCCCGTCTTAGGTCTTTCCTTCCATCTCTGGTGGGTGTCCGAGTGTAGGAGCAAGGAGGGGCGCATGGCAGGGGTGGCATGTCTGGAGTTTCCTTAGGAAAACATCCAGGAGAACTGGTCCATCTCAAGACACAGACATGGTAAGGTTTGTGACACACTGATAAACTCCTCTCCTAAAAATTGGCACCAATTTCTCTTCCCCTCAGTCCACCATGGCCCTCAGTGTTTACAACTGTTAATCATTTGATGATTGGAAACGTCCACTTTGACTTCATTGGGCCTCGTGGTCCCAGGAAGGCCAAGCATCTTTAGCAGCTCTTGATCCAGCACTGAGCTCTCCCACCAGTTAGGAACTGTCAGGGATTTTCCCGTGAGTGGTTCTGTCCACACCTGTTACAAACACTTCCTGAGTCTGGCACCCGCCATCTAATCCACTTCCTGCTTCATGACACACCAAGCCTGGGCCACCCTATCCTCACTTCGTCCCTCCATGCTCCACACACAGGGAAGTGGCAGTGCCACCTACCAGCTGCCCACACCAGAAACCTGCAAGTCACCCTCAGACAATCACTTACTCAACCAGTATTTGCTGAGCATCTATTATGTGTCAACCACTAGTGTCAGGTCAAGGGTTCATCAGTAGCCAAGAACTAAAAGCTCCCATGGGGCAGAAGGGGAGACTTGGAGAAGGACCCACGAGCAGGCACTGGGAGCCCATCGCCCTGTCCTGCAGCCCCCACTCAGCTCCTCCCCTTCACCTTTACTCCGCCTCCTGAACACTTCCTGATGCCGCCTCACCCCGAGCCCTGCTGCCCTGGTGGCATCAGCTTCCCCGCTTCGCCCTCGCCTCCATCAAGTCTCTGCTGCCGGGCACACCCTGCTTCAATCCCCTGCTTCAATCCGCCCCAACGGGACTGAAGTTATTGTTTCACTGTCAAGAGCATCCCAACAGCAAACCCCTGAGCTCCTTCCTACCTGCTCGTCTCACTCCTCCTCCCCACAACACCTCCCTACCCCCAGCTTCAGGTCCAAGGCAGCCTGACCTCTGCTCCCACCTCTCCCTCCTCACCTCCACCTCGCCCGTCCAGCTGGCTCCTCAGCTCGCCTCACTTTCTCGCTCCCACATTCTCCTTATGGGTGAGGCCATCCACCCCAAGCCTCTCTCCAACTCGAGCACCCATCCCCACCTGCCCCCAGTCCCTCAGGGATCGATCACAGGCTCCCTAAGGCCCCCCACCCACCTGAGCAGTACTCCACAGTCAGGTTCTCACACTGCTGAGGAAATAGAGGATTTCCAGTTAGCATCCTGTCGCTGCTGTTTGCATTCAGCTCCTGAGTCCATCTAACTGTTGTCCAGAGGACAGTCGGTGAGAATTCCCATTTTCCCCACCAAAAAACCCTAGGCAGCTGTGTGAATCCATACAGCTTACCTTAGGTGAGCTCTCCAAGTCTCCTCAACAAGCCCACAGCCCATGGCCCACCCCTCCGATCGACGCCGGCTCAGCGTGAGTCTCCATCGGGTTCTCTGGGTCTGCAGGCAAGCTGACCGCCCATGTTGGTCCCACAGAGAAGCTGGTGGATTTGAACTACTCATCCTTTGGTTAGCAGCCTGACACACAAGGCACCACTCGGCCAGGGCTCCTAAGGACACATCCAGCCCCGGCCACATCAACTCACAGGCCTGAGCCTCCACCGGGTAATCAAACCACCTACACTTCCAGGCGGACACTGCGCTGACAACGTGGCTCCGCTCCCAGCATTCTGTCACCGGGGGTGGGGGCTTCCCTCACTCACAATGTTGAAGAAGTGTTACGTCGCTGTATTTATATTCATTACTTTATTTCTCCCCATTAATGAGCTACTCCATTTTTCAATTCCACAGGGATTCTGATTAAAATTGCATTGAGCCTATAAATTAAGTTTGGCAAGACTGAACATCTGTGCAATATTCCATTTCTCTATACAGAGACCCTGTATGTGTCTGTTTATTCAAGTCGTGTCCTTTTCTCAGTAATATCCCATTGTTTTCTTCACCGGGGAGTCCTGCCCACCTCTCACTCAGATGACCCCTAAGATCATCCACGGGTGCCCGCTGCTGCCGAGCCCATTCTGACCGTGGCAGCTCAGCAGGACAGAGGAGAATCTGAGTGTCCAGGGCTGGCCAGCTGAAGGGAACAGACTGCCCTGTGTTTGCCCCCACGAACAGTGGTGGATTCAAACGACTGGCTTTTCCATTAGCAGCTGAGCGTGTAAGCACTGGACCACCGGCCTCCTTACGTCAGGAGTAACTGGGGGGAAGCGAGCTATTCAACCAGCCCCTGCCTTTTCCGTTGGCAGCCAAGCAGCAGCCAGGACTGAAGGATGAACAAGACCAGCAGGGAAGCGCTTGCTCCATGGAGCCGTCCGCCACATGAGAGCAGCAGGAGGACAAGACAGAGCTCCACCGTCCAGGGCAGAACTCAGGCGGGAAGGGATCCTGGGATGAAGTGAATGGAAACCGCATCGCAGGGACGAAGTGCAGGGTGGTGTTTACTTTACGGGAACTGTAGTCAGCGTCACACAACCAAATGCGTGCAAGTGGCTGGATGCACGCTAGTTTGCCTTGTAACCCTTTTCCCTTCAAATCACAGTTTAAGAAAACACTGCCAGGGGCTTGATCCCAACTCACGTCCACCCTCCACTGGGCCGCCCAGGCTGTAAATCAGAGTGACTGCCGCAGTGGGCTCCAGTGGTCGGGGATGACGAGGATGGCACAGGACAGGGCAGGGTTCACATCTGCTGTCCACAGGGTGGCTCTGGGTCGGACCCAACTCCATGGCACCCAACAACAACAAATCGAGACAGGAGGAGACAGCTCAGCTTTCTCCCTCTGAGAAGCTGGTAGATTCAAACCGCTAACCTTTTGATAAGCAGCTCCACACGCCATCAGGCCTCCCTGATCTGCTCTTACTCACAGACTAAGGCACATAAACAATGCTTAGTCCTTCCCTGAGTTCCTCCTGAGGGGAGTGGGAGTGCACGAGGACACTGTGGAGGGGGTGTCCCTGTCCCACGCTGCCTCCCAGGACGTCACCTGCTGTGTGTGCAGCACTTTCCAAGCCACGTCTCTGGTGGCTAGGCAGGGCGGGGCCCGCTCACACGCAGCTTTGCTGAGCCTGTCGTATGTGCTTAGCAAGGGACATGTGGTCTTCACCCGTCAGGAAAGGGTCTTTTTGTCCGAGCAGAGTTAATAGCTGTCAAGGGAATGTGTCTCCACCCTTCCTCTCTCTCCTCTTAAACTGCTGCTGGTTGAGTGCTCACGCTCTTAAAGGCGCTGCACCAGGGCCCCCACCACTGCCTGCAGCGTGGCCCACAGAAGGCCTGGCCCACCAGCTGGGGTGCCAGACCAGCATCAGACTCTGTGCCCCTGTCCCTAAGTAACACACTTGGCCGTTTTATTGTCAATTTTTTCCCTCTTCATCCTATTTTTCACTTTGGCGGGGGCTGCGGGGTCAGGCAGGGAACTGATGCAGCATTTCAAACCAAACCTGCTGTCATCTCAGGGATTCTGAACCTACAGACCTCACAGGAAGATCAGAACTGCCCAAAGCACTTCCAAGGCTGTAATCTCTACAAAGGGAGCTCAAGTGGCCAAGGGGTAGGAATCGGCGCTACCATCTCAAAGGCAGGCTGTTTGAATTCACCAGCTGCTCTGTTGGAGAAAGAGGACCCCGGCGGAGGGGCAGCGATGGGTCAGTTCCAACTCAATGGTACAAAACAACAAACAACAGCAACAATCAGCAGGGCAGCCTGTCTCATGTTTCTTGCGGAGAAGCTGGCTGACTTGAACTGCCAACCGCTGGGTTAGCAGCCAACTACTTCACTACTACGCACAGGGGTCCTCATGATTCAAGCCTCTCTCCTCAACCCCATTTCTCCAGGCGTGGCTCTTAGTGCAAATTACTTAACAGTCTCCCTAGCTTTGCAGCTGCAGCTAATGAACTGAAAATAAACAATTCTCAGTAAAATAAATAGTCTCTGCTTTCATGATCAAAATTTTTTTCCCTGCAGCCCGCCCGGTGCCGCGACAACACTGCGGACGGAAGCAGTGCCCCGCGGCTCTTCAGTCTTCTGAGCCGCTGGTGGGGCTCGTGTGGCCCTTGTCCCCAGCCCTGTCATCCAGCAATGCTGTGGTGCAGCTGGCAGTGCTCAGCAGCTGGGCTGGAGCTGTGACTCGGGACAGGAATCACTGCCGGCCAGTCACGCACACGGTCCACGGGCCCACAGGCAAGGTGCACCTCTGAACACAGGGGATGAAGGACATGAGACTTAAGGGGCATGTGAACATGCTCTGCCTACCACCCAGCTACCCAGCTTCATTCCCCCAATGAACCGGAGTCATTCACTGCCACTAAACAGCCTTTAGCCAATCAAATAGGTCTCTTCGTCCTCTGCAAACTTAACTGTGTTGGCCTAATTTCAAATTCTCAGCTATTTCCTAAAATGTCCTTTTAGGATTTTATTTCTACTTCCGTGTCAACCTCATTCCACAAATCTGAGATAAATATTCCTTATTAACACAGCTGTAGAATTAAGGAAATAAAAGGGTTGTCAAATTTAACGTGCCAAAAATTAACTGGTAGTCCAGAAAATGACCATCTCGGACTTGAAAGCCTCTCTGATACAACATAATTCAAGAAGCCATGCTGTCACTTCAGAGGTTACCTTTTGAGGCCGCTCCTGATAAACTGGACAGCGTGAAGTGACTGTTGAAAACACATGTAACCTAGTCCCTCAGCGAACCCCCACCCTCCTCACTGAGTCCTACAGCCTGGCAGGGAAGGGCTCGCTGAAGGGAAGCACAGGATCTTACTAAAGCTTTCATTCCGTGACGGAGTGACCGTGCCCAGACGC